CACACAAACTAGACAAAATGGTCACACCGCGGTGGCCGCTCAGTAGGACTCTAAATGATGGTACACACACAAACTAGACAAAATGGTCACACCGCAGTGCTGCTTAGTAGGACTCTAAATGATGGTACATACACAAACTAGACAAAATGGTCACACCGCAGTGGCTGCTCAGTAGGACTCTAAATGATGGTACAAACACAAACTAGAGGCTGACAGCACTGAAGAACAGGTTTGAAGCCAGCTATAATATCTTTTCCTAGATTTTTCAAAACTTCCTCAAATGTTAATTCCTCTTTCCAACACAGAAAACTGACACGTTTCTGTTAAATGAAGTCAATTTAAATAAATACTTACGAGAGCAGGTGGCAGTTTGCCACTCCAGACACTGTCCATATGGAAAAGAGATTATGTATGCATTAGAGTCAACACATCGCTTTGTACTGCTACACCACATACACTCCATGCCGTTGCTGGTACAGTTGGAGCATGTTGTCCTTAGAGAGCACGGCTTTTTGCATGGCCTTGCATTTTGATTTGGACTAACTGGAATAAATCAACAAATACAATTATTCCACTTGTTAACTGCATTTTAACACCAGTCTATGGCTTTTATTTGTTTTGTTGTTTAGAGAATGCTTCAATTAAGCCAAATGTGGCATAAAAATCATATGAAAATTACATGGTGACGTACACAAAAACAGATGACATGTTATTACTTAAGTTTCTTATCAAATTTAAAAGGTATATTTCCTTAAAAATTTTTAATTCTTTACAAAGTACATGAAGTTATACAATTCAAGTTATAAAATGGACTGCAATTCATGACCTAGAATTCTGTATATTAGCTGGATACTATGTATAACCCAAACCAAACTCACTGCCATCGAGTTGATTCCGACTCATAGTAACCCCCTTTGTGTTTCCAAGGCAGTAAATCTTTATAGAAATAGATTGCCCAGTCTTCCTTCCACAGAGTGGCTGGTGGGTTTGAACCACTAACCTTCTCATTAGCAATCAAATGCCTTAGGCACTATGCTACCAGAGCTCCTTAATACTGTGTATACTGTCATTATATACTTTCCTAGCCACAATGTTTTCCATAAATATTATATACTTCATCAAAGTAGATGACTTGTCAGTGAACATGTTTCTGACATAAACAATGAATAAAATTTTACTATAAAAATGCATATAAACTATATTTAAAAGGAGATAAGAGTGAAAAAATATTTTTTCACTTAACAAAAATCCATTTCAAAAAATAGCGGAAATGTTTGATTCTTTCTAGAAGCCAACCGAAATAATAAATCTTCAAGACTAAGATGATTCTCAATTGCTTCTTAATCTTGTATAAATCACTCTTTGAAACACTATTTTACGAACTGACCTTGATGACTCTACATCCTACATTTGTGAGTAGCAACTAAGGTCTTAAAAGCTTGTGAGAGGCCATGTATGATCTCCTCGCATCCAAAGCAAAACAGAGTGAAGAAAATGAAAGACCCATGGAAATAATCAGCCCATACAACCTCAGACACTATGACCTGAAACCAGAGATCTAGATAGTACCCAGCTACCACTACTGACCACCCTGACAGGTCATGATAGAAGGCCCCGGACAGAGTAGGAGGACAATGTGGACACAAGAAGACCAGGCTTACTGCTCTGATAGAGAGTGTGGTGGAACTCCCCAGACCATGACTTAGACACCTTTCAAGCCTGGACATGAACTCACTCCTGTGGATCAACTTTCAACCAAAGAATAGGCAGGTCTATAAGGTGACCAAGGAGCTCTGTGGTACAGTGATTAAGGCATTCAGCTGCTAACAAAGAGTTTGGAGGTTCAAACCCACCAGCCACTCCACAGGAGAAAGATGAAGCTATCTGCTTCCATGAAAATTTATAGCCTTGGAAACTCCATGGGGCAGTTCTACTCTGTCCTATAGGTTCATTAGGATTCAGAATTGGTCTAAAGGCAGCAGGTTTATAAGGTGAATAATAACTCTAGGGAGTTATGCACTCCTTAGACCAATCAATCATGCAAGACCTAAAGTGCAGCATTTATCCAGAAACAAGACTCAGAAGATGGGAAAGAATGGCAAATGGAAACAGGAAATACAAGGAGGAAGTAGACTGAGAGTGCTGTTACACTGTGAGGATTGCAATCAATGTCACAAAGCAAAATATGTATCAATTACTGAGTGGAAAATTAATTTACTTTGTAAACTTTCACCCAAATCACAATGAAAAGTTCTTCTTAAAAACAGAAGTAGTATGATTTAAGTAAAAGTAATTAAATTAAGAACAGATTCTTATTATAGTACAAGTACACAATCCAATGTTCATAATGCCACTATTTGAACCAAAAAATAGAAGTTGAATAAAGTTAGAAAATCTTTTATTTTTACAAATTAATCCAGAGACCACTAAAAGTGAGTGGGAAAAGTGGATAAAGATTATCTACTGCCATCGAGTTGATTACGACTTACAGCAGCCCTACAGGACAGAGCAGAAGTGCCCTATAGAATTTCCAAGGCTATAATCTTTACAGAAGCAGACTGCCCCATCTTTCTCCTGCAGAGTGGCTGGTGGGTCCAAACCACAGATCTTTTGGTTAGCAGTTGAGTGTTTTAGCCACTGGACCACCACAGCTTCTGGATAAAGATGGAACTTTCCTAAAACCAGAAATCTGCTTCATAATAAAATGGTGAAAGTTACTTCAGGCTATCACACACCTTGGGAGGAGGGGCTAAAAACATTGTATTTTGAAAGAAAAACTGGTTTACTGGACTACTTACCAATAGGTTTTTCACAGACAAGGCCATCTGCCATAGACGTGCAAGGATTAGCTTTCAAGCCTGCCACTGCAGCCCTTTCCAGATAGGCACAGAAGCCAGAATCATTTGGTTCGCCGGGAAGCCACTGCAGGGTTGTGTTGGTAAAAGGAGACATGTCTTCCCAGCCCCAGTAGGATATATTGATCTTGCGCAAGCCTACCCAAGGCGACATCTTCTGTAAATAAAAAGGGAGATTTTAAAAAGGTACATGTGAAAATTCTGTATCCTATTCCTTAGCAAATAGTTCATTATCATGAAAAATTGCATGTGAAAACATGTCGTGTCACCTTTCTAATGACGCCTAGTATCGAGGATAATTAACAATCCAAGCACACCTGGGAGAATGGCACAGACTTAAACGCTTTTTAAGCATAGGTTTTGTGTTTGACATGTTTGGAGTCAGTTTTTAGCCACTGTGAGCCTCAGTTTCCTCTTCTATAAAATGGGGATATAAATATCTGATATAAATTTCTACCTTACAAGGCAAGATCGTTAGTGATCTTAACACAGTGCTACTGCTGCTGCTGCTGTTAGCAGTCTAATCAGTTGTGAGGTAAGAAATCTAAAGATGAAAGTCCACGACAGTATATAGCGCCTACGTGAAGACTTTGTAACAGGATGGTAAAAGGACTCCTCGTTAATCTCCACTACCACACTGAACTTTTAAGTAATTATAGCTAAATTAATATCTTCTTTCATTAATAAAAAGAACAAGAAAAGTGGTAAAATCTCTGGCTCTTGGACTCCAAATAGAACTAACACCGATAGACAAGGACCACTGACTAAATATCCTTAATGCTCTCACTAATAGTTCAAAAGTAGCAGGAAAACAAAATCTATTCTTTACAAGCCTTATTTCAATCATTACTTAATTTTTAAAGTATGTTCCACTTATGGTATGTGAAAACAATGATATCGGTTCATCCAAGCTACTCTCTTTACAAAGCTATAGTGAACACCTCAACCTTAATATATACAATAATTTATTTTCTAACATACCAACCTACTAATCGTACATTAAGGAGCTCTGGTGGCGCAGTGCCTGAGGCGTGTGACTGCTAGCCAGGAGACTGGCAGCTCAAACCCACAAGCTGCTCTGCAAAAGGAAGATGGGGCAACCTACTTCCTTAAAGACTCACTGCCTCAGAAACCCAATGGGGGTCGCTAAGAGTTGGAATCAACTCAATGGTCATGAGTTTAATTTTGAGGTTAATCTTACATTACAGTGTTGAATGTTTTCAAAACTCTGCACTATCTCTTGTTTTACATAATGGACCATAAGGATAGAGGAAAAGTATGTCTCCTCAGCTGAGTCTCTAACAACCTAAAGGGAGGATATTTATATCAGTATTTATTCTATGTGGTGCAAATGGTTGCAGAGAGGATGTGAAGATGGCCACAGGCATGAAAATTTGAAAAGTATATAAAAACAATGAATTCCACATTCAACTTAGACATTCAACAAAGTTCCTGAATAAAATTAAAATATCTTTTCCATACTCATTATAACAGATCACATATTGCCTAGCAGAGAGTACTGTACCCATTGTACCCATAGCAGGTCATCTAAACAAAGTTCATTAGAACACAGCACTAGCCAGCACTATGCCTCAGACAGAGAATAAATAATGTTTCCAATTATACAAATACACATGCTGCTTCATATTGTGATCATCAAATATTTCAGACACCATTCTCAAAAATCTTTTGATAACAAAAACTCTGTAACATTTTTACAGTTCTCAATAACAACAGCAGGAGTCAATCCAACGTAGCTATTTCAGATTAATAACTGTGCTTCATATTACAGCAACTCTGCCTATGTTTCCAAACTATCTATAGGAACGGGAAGTCATTTGAAATAAAATATTACTCCCTAATTCATCACGATTAGAATCTGAGAGGAATAGAAAAATGAAGCAGTTGATAAAACATTTAACGTAACTATTACTCAGTAAATGAACTGGATAGGCAGTTGAGAATTAAAGATAAATTACGGTATTATAAAAATTTACCGCAGCACACCATAAATCATTGTAACATCTCATTAGCCGTTTCTGATAAGTAAATGATCATTTGACCCAAGATATCTCTTTAAAGTGTATTAATTTGTCCATCTTTATTTGCCAAGGAAGGGTTATTTTAAGTTTATGCAACTGCAGTAACTCAGAATATAATTTATTTTATATAAAGATATGCTTAATAGAATGTCACCTTGCAGAAGTTTCCACCTGTAAAATCTTAAATCTCTGCTTCCTGGTGAAACAGACATTATTAATTTTTAGTCAGCAAGGACCTCTGGTGTCACAGTGGTTAAAGCACATGGCTGCAAATCAAAAGGCCGGTGGTTCAAACACACCAGGTACTCCATGGGAGAAAGTTAAGGCCACCTGCTTCCAGAAATCTGTGCAGCCTTAGAAATCCTATGGGGCAGTTCTACTTTGTCCTTTTAGGGTTGTTATGAGCTGGAATCAACTGGACGGCAATGGGTTTGGTTTTGGTGGGTCGGTCAGCAGATTACCGAGTCCAAGTGCATCACATATTCAAACCAGTTTTAGTCCAATCTTTATGACTGATAACAATAAACA